TCCAGTCTGCTCCAATTATTGGCACAACGTCCAGTCTGTTACCATCATGAGTACAACGTCCAGTCTGCTCCCATCATGAGTACAACGTCCAGTCTGCTCCCATCATGAGAACAACGTTTTGACTCCTGTGACCGTCGGCGCCTAACAGCCAAAAGGGGTCATCGGGCCTTCAGTTTGCCTACTGCATGTGCCGAAAGTGGACTCCCGACACACCGGCCTCGACGATATGACAGATAAAAGCATTTTAGTTCGTGTTAACCTTACTTTTGAGTTGTTCCGTGAATTGGTAAAATGACGCCAGTACATCACATGGGGTTCATAGCGCAACAAGGAGACACAGAGTCAACCGCAAAACCATACTCGTTCTCCAGGAGTAAAACATAAATCCGACTCGCATTTGACAGGTTTTCTCCTTTGCTGATCACCGGGGTGACCTCGAGGGGCACTTTGAGGCGACTGTTGGTCTGAGTCATCATCAGAACTGCGGTGTTTCGATCATCCCAATGGCCGTCATCCTTCTGCGCGACCAGCGCATGTGTGGCTTTCCAGGCGAGACTAGGTGTGATGTCATCAGCTGCAGGACCGAACTGAAACGCCTAGCGTATCTATATGATGCTGCAGAACACGACATTCCGAAAAGTGTGCGACCCATTTCGGCCTTCACCTATGTATCTAGGCTTCTAAGGTTCCTATAGCATCAGGCGTCGAACCCACAATCTCGCGATCAGCAGGCAGACATTCTAGCTCCATGCCGCCGGGGGGACTGACAACAGCGCGACTCATGATTCAATTCATGCTAATATCCCGTCTCAGGCATACCACAAGACTTCTGAGTCGAGCTCACCGGCGAACCTTACATCTGTTCACAACCGCAATGGTCGCCTTGAACGCAGCGCGGAAGTCCTGGCTGGACACGATGGAGACAAGAGGGCTGAGCACGGCGGTGATGCTGCCGCCGGCGAGCTGCACCAGCCAGAGGTGCAGCACCTCGTGCGGCATAGTGTAGCACTGCGCCAACAGCCAGCGGACGTAGAAGAAAAGCCAGATGGATGGCAGGCATGATGCCACATACACTGCGAGAAAAGCCGCCAGAGACCTGTTGAGAACAATGTCGGTTCTTCGCCCTACGTGCGCCACCGACGGTACTGCCTCGGCGGGAGCTGCCCTAGCACGGCGTGGTGAGGGACGAGGAAACCCTGGTACGAGCAAGGTGGGCACGGATTCTCCAGGTGCCGCTGGCGGTAGTCCGAGAGGGTTAATGTCGGCTGGGGTGAATCTCGACACACAGCTGTGAGTAGGTGCCACTGGGACTAGGCGCCTGTCGGACACCGCATTCGATTTTTTCCATAGAGGGACACCAGCGCCTTACCGGCAACGCAGGGCGTTCTGACCTCTGGCAGAGCTGTGAACACTGGCATCAGGCTCTTCATCAACTTCAGAGGTATTCACCGAGCGAATGCCTCGCTCCAGGGCACGACTCACTGGCGTCAGTTGGTTTAGAGGTGGCGCAGTACCGAGCTCCACGGCACGACTCACTGGCGTCAGTTGGTTTAGAGGTGGCGCAGTGCTGAGCTCCACGGCGCGACTCACTGGCGTCAGTTGGTTTAGAGGTGGCGCAGTGCCGAGCTCCATGGCACGACTCGCTGGCGTCAGCTGGTTTAGAGGTGGCGCAGTGCCGAGCTCCATGGCACGACCCGCTGGCGTCAGCTGGTTCGAAGGCGACACGGTGCCGATACTGGGAATTCGAAGGCTATCCCTGTCCTTGCGTTTATCCTACACAGTAGCCCGCTGGGTGCTCCGAGAAACGATTTTCCTACATTTTTCCACCTTGCGGGAGGTGGTCACGTTGCAAAACAGCAGGATCGTGGCGTCAATAGTGTACACGACGCTGTTGAATAACACCCACGTCCAGTGGTCGGCAACGAGTGGCATTTTCAGCAGTGACCACCTGTTTGAAGTCACGGCAAGTTCCTCCAGACACCCAAGAAACTGTATCTTGTACGCCAGAAGCATGAAGCGAATGCCAGATATCAGCGACAGTATGGAGACAAAGAGGAAGACGTTCGACTTCGCAATGGGATAGTTTAATGACTTCACCACTAGGAGATAGCGGGATAGTGTGATTGATACTAGCATGCAGAAACTGAAGGTAGCGATCACCTGGAAACACAAGGAGCAGTCGTCAACAACACAACTACGTTCTCACGTCGTGTGCCACATTATCCAAAAGTTGCTAGCCGCGCTTCAGGAATGCACAATCATAGTCCAACATGATAGATTTCGCAGCCCCATGGGATGCGCGTACATAGGTGGATCTTCGTCTTATCTTCATTACGATGGTAGACATACTTTTTCTGCGCGTCTGATGTCTAAACGGATGCCCTTTCTGCAAGCAATTTTGCAGTCAAAACCAGGGCCGGGCATTGGAGAATTGCCTAGCAACATGTTAACCCGGACCCCGATCAGGATACCAGCCTAATCCCAACTGATGAAGTGCAGCGCGGCCACTTATGATCTTATACGTGCGTGTCACTAGGGGAACGTATCCCCTGCTTCTCCTAGGGGTCATTGTGGAAAATATGCTTTATGAAGCAAACGCTCTTCGCATCTCTCCTGCTCAAGAGAAGGCCTTTTAGACAGATTGGACGCGCCCGTAGTGCAGTGGATAAGCTGTACGGCTGGGAAATCAAAGGCACGCGTTCGATTTCCCGCGGTTCGTGTCCTTAAGGACAAGACGAAAATATCAAGTTGCCATTAGGACATGTGGTTAGAGTAATCGTTCATTAGCACTCAAAACTCCTTGTGAAAATATGTCAGTGACCTGTTATGACCTAAAACTGTCACATTTTCGCCACGGGGCGAATCGTTGGAGGACAGATAAGCAAGATCAAGGAACACCGATTTTAGAACGCATCCCTTATATCATAAATGCTACAATGCCTCACGTTTTGGTCCAACATGCCCAGCTGTCAATCGCGCAGTGAGGTTTAACATGCTTCAAACAGATTAAAAAGCGGTACGGTACGCCGGAAAACGGTGTGACATAAGGGCTACAAATGCCATAAATTTGGTGAAGTGGTTGTGTGACTACCCTAGAAGAAAACTCTTGGGTGTTGAGATTTATCCTTATATTAATATTACCTTTTGTCACACTTTTCCCCTATTCATCATAAGGCATAGCATGTGAGTGTGTAACGGTTATTGTCACTTGTACGCTAACGTGCCTTGATACAATGTGGTAGCGGTAAACCCTGAACCGAACAGGGGTTGGGACATGTAGACAGTCACGGAAGATAACAGACAGCCTCAAAAATCTAAGCCACTATCCACACTTACACCACATCCACACTATTCACACTTACACCACACTCCACATGTGGCGTAAGACATTCAAACACAAAGCAGCACAGCAGGGCAGAGACGGTTGAGCCCCTGTTGTCACCTCCTCTCCCCACCCACCCGCACAGACGTTCGAAGTGGTCTAACCTGCAGGATAACTTGCGGATCACGCAGACGACCTCCACTTGGAGCATGAAGACGATGAATTGCAGGACCGGCATTAGGCACCAGAGCAGGTTGGTAGCGCACATCACGCCCAGCAGACAGTTGGTGAGCGTGTGCAGGGAGCGCGTGCGGAGCAGCGTGACGATGCTGGCCACGTTGAGGAACACGGCACCGGCCACGGCGGCCAGGCTGCGGGTCAGGTACAGCCGGAACAGGTGGAACGCGGTCACATCGGCGGCGCCGGCACAGCAGGTGACGTGCTGTCCTCCGCTGGAGCCGCCGCTGCAGGTGAGGGCGAGCAGCTGGGAAGAGCAGCGCGGCAGACGCTGGGCCAGGGCCGAAGGCGAGTGGGCGGCGGCGCTTGTCGGAGCACGGCTCGGGTCAACAGAGTGGGGGGTTAGTGCAGCTGGGGACTGGGTCATGTCAGCTGGGGTTTTGGTCAGGTTAACTGGGGTTCGGGTCAGGTTGGTTGGCGTCAGGGTCAAGTCACCGGACGGCAGGGTCTGGTTCAAGGGAGGAGTAGGACCGGACGGCGCTGACAGGCCAAAGCAAACAATGAGCCTGGTTTCCACACGACCGACGGCGGCATCCAGAGCCAACGTTTGGTTAGAAGGAGGCCGAGAAGAGCTTGGATTACTCTGAAGACGGACTATGGGGGCAAAAGGTAAACTAAACAACAGGATCCAATGCGACTCAAGAGTCATGTCCGAATCAGACGACGTCACTCGGCGTGTGCGGAGCGCCGGCTTCGCCAAGACCTATCTGGACACAGCTGCCGTGTGAGTGCCGCAGCTACCGTCTGCTTTGTTGTTATATGCTCCGTCGGCGTTGATGCGCGAGGTTGCCAGGGCGACCGTCCCTACCGCTGTCAGTCATGTCAATCGATGCGAAGCAGGCGCACTCCTTTCGCATGTATGGGTACTCATGTTTTCGTGTTTTGATACTTTTCCGCTTTTCGTGCTCCGATTTTATGTTCTTAGCCAATGTAAATGCTCGCCCCCTTCCGACGTTTTTCATAGCGCAGACTGAGAGGGATGGGGCTCTTGCAGCCATGTCCTGTCGTTTCCGAGCTAAAAAGAATAGAGCCGGGCAAACTGATGGAACAGTTGATTCATGCTGTGAGGTAAAAAGTGATTCTGCTAAGCCAGTTCAAAGGTCATTTTTTCCTGAGAACCAAACTATTTCCGCTTTACATGCACGTCGTTAAGAAATAATGTCACGAATCAATTTGAAACATGAATCCAACTTCCACTATATCATCCTGAAAACGAATTGGTTTTAGGTACCAACTTGTATGTATATAGCTTCTTTAATGTAACAATACCGGTCCGCCGCGCGCGAGCAACAGCAAACATAAATCACATCACCTCATGTATTTGGTACAGCGCACCGGCTGAATGAATAGGCATACCAACAACAATGTCACCTTGATATTCCGTGAGGTCCCTGATATCACAAAGATCATGGTAATCCTCCAGTGTCTACTGACTAGACGTCTAGATCTTGACGCAGTGAGCTCCTTTCTCTGGCGTCTCGATGCACTTAGAGTTTTCCGGGCAGTACTTGCCTTTGCAGCCAGGAGTCTCTGTGGACATTTTTGTGCGTTACATAAGGCAAAATATTATTCAAGTTTTTAGCTCACAACAGATGTCAAGCAAGATTTTGCACGGCTTTTATGTGACTTGGTGAAATGAAGCAACACAAATACTCATATAACCGCATAAGCGTACGCAACACACGACAGGCACCAGCGCTTCGTGAAAGTGCAAACGTCAAATATTCTACTCACTTTTTCCACGCCGACAGAGGGCACCGTTGGGCGTGTCGACGCAGGTCAGACCACCCTCGCAGACACGCACTTCGCACGTGTTGGGCAGACAGATGGGAGAGCCGTTACGGACGTAGCAGTTGGTACCGCGACGGCAGTAGAAGCCCTCGCACGTGGGCACATCTGAAGCACCCACATATCATCAGCTCTGAGGGCTTGGGTGCGGTATATTTTGTGGCACGCGGGAAGAACGAGTAAAATAATAAGCAAACGCCGATGCTGCATTCACCGTTCATGGCAAACAAATCTTCATTAAAGGCGAACAGGACTGTTTTTACGGCAACATTGCTGGAGGTGTATTGACGACGTACCTGGTACGCAGTCCGGCCCATCGGGCAGCTCGTTGCAGAGTTCACCGGCAGCACAAAAAATGTCGGCACAGGTCACTGCAATGCCAAGAACAGTGTCAGTCATGTGCGCAGGCTTGGTGTGCAGAACAATCAGGCATTTAGAGGTCTAAATGACATATATATATATATATATATATATATATATATATATATATATATATATATATGCATGAATGTACAACTTGTTATGAAGTTGTCACAGACAGACAGGTGTATGGAGCCTCACCCCCGCTCCCACAAAAAGACCCCAAATCCGATCCCAGGACCCATAAGCATGTAACGCTGTTAAATCCTGGATTCTCCCTTGAGGCCAAGACGCATGTCTGGCGTAGAATGCCCGATATATAAATATAACGTGATGCATCTGCTTGACGCTGTACGCCAGGGTAACCTGTACGCGAGCATTGACACGAAAAGGTCACTTACGTCTGACGCACACAGGACCGGTTGGTCTATCCTCGCACTTCTCATTATCTTTGCATTCCCAGGTTTTACAGGTGGGGGCCTCTGAAATGCAGGGCATGGCGTCAGGCGCGAGGTAACGGCGAACCAGCCCCGCGCATATAACGACGAACGGGCTTCGAATCCCGGTATATCGCAAGACCGACTGCCAACACATTCAGAACGTTGGAGAAGGCCTCCTTAAATACGCTGTTCTTTGGCACGGCTTACTTGCCTACCAGCTTGTTTGCGCCGCGCAGCGCGGCTGCACAGCCGTACAGTGTGACGGAAGTAACGTACTCTCCCTCCCCCCCCCCTCTCTCTCTCTCTCTCTCTCTCTCTCTCTCTCTCTCTCTCTCTCTCTCCCACACACACACATACACACACACACCCGCACACACCCGCAAACGCACACATTGGTACATACCTGGGACACAGACGTGGCAAATTTGCTCTTCGCAAACGTTGTTGGGCGGACATTTCTTACTGCAGGCTGGAACAGATATTATTACCCATTATGCAGTTATCTTCGCAGCCGACTCAGTGCAGAAAAAAACATCCATTAGATGCGGTTAAGCTTAATGCAGCTTCCCACGTCGCGAAAAAATTAATGATGCGGATATAGAGCACTAATGCCACAAGAGAACATAAGATTCCGACTCACCCCCGCCTTTGGGTTTGAGACCGGCGATCAGTTTCTTGTTGGCCTGGGCACCGACATAGGCGACGAGCAGCAGAAGAACGAAGGCACGGCTGGCCATGTTTTGTGGTCGGTGCGGCTGGGATGAAGTGGGAGCGGCGTCAGAGATGGGTGCTGCTCGTCTCCTGCCGGGCCGTCGCCGCTTTTATACAGGCTCTCCGGCCCCGGGTGGCCGCAGCACGCGACCAATGCGCAGCTCCGGTCATCGCGAGCCGGTTCTGCGGATGACGTCAGAACTGAGATCCCCGATCGGCACACGTGCGCACGGTGAGGCAGGTCAGCACGTGGGCATCGGCCTCTTGTGGACTTCTCAGTGCCGCCGCAACGCTGGAATTGTTGGTATCCTAAATTATTCATCGAATAATTTCCCTGCCAGAAAGTGGATGCAAAAGTGTATCGCTCTTTAACGGGGTTTGCTTTTACTGGTAGTTCTCTTAACACAAGAGGAAAGACGTTTTGTGTTTTCTGCTAGCTTATGGTCATATCATCCTTATTTTTCATCTTACGGTATCAGCTAGACATGTGCATGAGCACCATACATCGGCATGCCATGTAACAATTTGAAGAATGGTTTGTGTCGTGTAGCAAGGACTACTTAGAGCGTTTGCCCAGCTGTTTTTGCCTTTTGAGAAATTGGAAAGCGGTTTTGAATCCAGCGGAACATATAGCGTTAGCCTCCAGCCACCGTCATTATTTTTTTCTGACGCAACCACAATAGATCAGAACATTCAAGATGCGAGTGGCGGCAACAATAAAACAAAATAATGTTTCAATCCCAAGAATTTGCTTTGCGCTCTACGTGGGTGTCAATCTGATTGCCCACTATCTGAGTATCTTCCAGGTCGATCTTGTGGTCATAGGCTTAGAAAGACGCCCAGAGAACGAGTTTTATTCTGGCATGCAGAGATTTCAGCAAGTCTTCATCACGAGACAACAACGGGGCAAAACGTATTTGCAGTCAGCATAATTGGTTATTTCAACAAGAAATTACATTGAAAAATGTTCTTAAGCATCCAGATACAAAAAAAAAAAATCACAGCAGTTATAGTTTTTATATCAGAAACGGACATAGGAATACGTGGCTGTAGAGCATATTTCACCAATATAGCTTCTAGCCGAAAGATAACAAGAATCTTTTACCTAGAGATAACTAAACCTACTAAACACAGGTAAAAGTTAAACTGGATAAAACCAGGCGTTTTGGAAGCTCAGTGACAAACTCAAGTACGTATGCTCGGAGAGATGTCGACCCAAAGTTGTTCTCACAAGTTCGGTGCTGACAAGGCTGCGGCGATTGATACGCTTAGCTATATGTTCGGGGAGATAATAATAGCAGATCAATTAGTCATCTCTGCCAATAGCTGACATGGTAATGTTAACAAAGCAATTTGGTTATGCGAAATGCTTCCTTTCAAAGCATTTTCCGTTATATCCAAATACGCTAGCAGAGCATGACTCACATTAAGTTGCCCGATTCCACCCTTTTTATACGTGGTTAGACGCATTACAGATTGCCTCGAAGTTGTGGACAGATTAAAACAGTGGATTGAATCAGACACCAAAAAAGTCATATAAATTTGGTAAAAGTTGGTAGGCTGTCTCTCACCCATGTCGCAAAGCATCGTAGTATGTCATGATTATGTGCGCGCTTCGTAATATTATCATAGACCGCTGGCATCCCTAATATCAGCGGTCGGCAACGAAAATAAACATGTTACCTGACGGCTGACTTTAACTCGAAATCAGTATTGGTTGAACCCCGCCTAACCTAATTGTCCTAGTCACGTGTCTCATCTTCGGAAGCTTTCAGTGGTGCATGATTGCCGGGCCGCATTGTTTCGGTAGATCGTTAGGCCGTATGTGAACCGCGAGGTATCCAAACTCCTCCACTCCTTGTCGCTGAATCCGCCTCTGGTGGTTTACATGCGTCACAAACCAACTAAACTCAGTCAACATTTGTGCAATGGACCATGTCATTGCTTGTTTCAGTAAAAATAAAATGAACGAATGTATTAAAAAGGACCATGAACGGCGCTTTCACCTTGGACAGCCAGTTATTCGTGCTGCTGCTCCTCCCAAAAGCGCTACCTGCGGTGCTCTCTGGATTGTGTATGGAATTCATTGCTCGTGAGGCTGTCGTAAATTAACGTTTGGGAAGAGTCGCTAGGTTTCCGAACATCAATATTCACTATTTAGATTCTAGCTACCAACAGGAGCCGGCTGTCGGTGTTATGTGCATAAAGATGGCGTTGAAACAAGAAAACTCAAATTTGCTTAAGTACCTCGACGCTTCGGTACCTCGACTCAAAGTGAGTCGAGGTACCGAACGGAATTTGAAAGGAACGGAATTAAGCGCTGTCCGTGTCACTAAATGCTCTCATTGGACTGGCTACATCAAAGCATCGCCAGATGCTCGATGATAACACCTGGCAGGGGTTTCCGTATTCAACGCTTTCCGTAAACACACGTTCACATTTACTGTCACAGTTATCTGAAACGAAACGTCCGTGAATTAATGCTAACTGTGTCAAGTTTGTTAAGATCCGGTCGCATGTTCCTAACTGATTCATGTGACAGCTGCTTCCTGTGATGGCTTAAAGCAGTTATGCTGTATGCATGAGGCCAAACCCAGATTTCATATTCCTTTCAAGAGATATGCCTAGACTACAGGAACACTCGGATTCAGAGGGATGTAAGCCAGCAGCGCCTTTGGGAGCTACGCCTTTAAAATTGACTTCATTTGGACAGTGCATCCTGATCACAATGCTACGACTCACTCCGTCAGGCTAAAACGTGCATAAGTTGCGCATTATGCAGAGACTGGACCCAGAACGCTAATTTTTTGTTACATGCGGTGATGGTAGTGTCTCTCTCTCTCTCCCTGACATCACCCATTCTTTGTTGCCAGCCGTTTTGTGCCTATAGTTCTACGCTTGCGAAGCATAAAGTTTTATTTGCATTCCGTACAGCCGCAACCCAATACCCCGCAGTTAACAACATCTACGCAAAACGGATAGTAGAAAGACAAGATATCGACACTTTTCCACGAGGCCAATCAGATGGACTAGTTTAAACACCTACAATAGTTATAAATATCCTCTCGAAACGATAGCCTTCTGGGTCTTTTGTTACCTCTTATCTCTGTTTCTGATATGTTTGGGTTCGCTTGTCCCTAAAGCAATGTGCCGTGGCCTCATCTCCGGGCCCTTCAACATCTTGGAATTAGCCTATAAAATATTTCGGACAGCCCGCTCCCGTGTGGCCCGGCAAATATTCTGAACAGCCATCCATCTTGCTTGGGCTTTGTGATCGTGCAAGCTCCATAAGCGTTTTAGAGACTTGTTGTCCAAGATCTTTGGATTTGTCGGAGATCACACACCGCCTGCTGCAGTGTCTTCTTTTAAATAAGGGAGGCATACATCCCTCAGGAAATATGTCTCTTCGCATAGAGTACACAGAGACTGATTGCACTCTCTGATTGCTCTCGCTGATCGATCACCGTATAGAGTGATGACTGGACCATCTCTTTCCGTCGCTGCGTTGTTTTTTGACGTCCCACCACACCGTGTTCCTTGACCCTTTCCACGACCTTTGAAGGAAGTCTGCTTAGTCTTTTGGTTCTTTAAAAAGACATTCCAGAAATTATTTTAACCAAGTACGCGCTATACCGGTACGAACACAGACCTTTTGGGGCAAGAATTGCACCAATAAACGTAAACGACCATATATGTATATTATGTGAGACAACAAATGGCGCATCAAAGACAACCTGAAACCTGACGAAAAATCACGCTTCCGTGATAGCCTGCTACCCATAAACCGTCGCTCTGGCGCCAAATTTCTTTACTTCACCGGCGGCAAATCACATCACAGAACTCCCACTGGCAGGGAAAATAACGTCACGTGCTCCCCCTATTAAAGAAAAGACGCGACTGCGAAACATTTGCTCTCGTCATCGGCAAGAAAGCCCTTGAGCTGCGTGGTGGAAGACTGGAAGCACTCCCAAAGTCAATCAGTGCAGAAATCTTGAAAGAGTACGATATTACCATCGAGCACGTGCTGACGTCAATTATCTTATTTGTTCTGATTTGGACGATGAGGATCGTGTGAACTTATTCCGTGTTATTAATGTAAACTGCAGTTGCAATGGGGTCGTTTTGGGATGAGCCTCTGCGAGAACGGGTCATCTACCACTGAGCGGCTGATGGCATGAACATAATGGAGAGATACAACGCTTGTATATGAACTGGACATTTCGAGACTAGGAAAATGTCAACGCTCACCTCAATCTCTTTGTTATATATATCTACAGGTGAAGGACTGTGAATGCTGAGCTGAGGTAATAAAATGCTATAACAGATACACTCAAGGTGTCAAGCTTCAAAACGTCCTGAGAACACATGGTCGCCATTACATTGTATGTCTAAATGTTCCACCATTTCAAGTTGATTACGTACAATACTGCTTTGAATTAAAACCGTCTATTTTTGGCTCTAGCCCAGCTTATGAGCCTTTAGCAAGTCAAATGATGGCTACCCTTGGCAGTGGATAATGTTAAAAGAACTTGCTGCATGCTTCCAACACGCAAAGCATTCCCCGCGCATGGCTTAATTAATTTGATATGTAACATGTCTTTTCTCTTTAACGTTATATATCTTTGATTGCCGTTCCATTGGGTAAACTAGTTCCTCATCCTATGAATTTCGCAGATTGCTGCAACACGTTGATAGTATGATACCATGATTCGCACTGAATGAAAATGTTATCGTGTTCGATGAAAGTTGCACATTAAGCTCACAATGTGCTTTCGTTTGAACTTGAATGCACGTATGCTTATATAACCATCTCCCTTTAAGCTCAACTCTAGACAGTTTGTGGACTATTGACATTCTGCAACAATGGCTCACACTGTCAGTGAATCTACGGATATGCTCCTGTATGACTGACTTCTGTAAATTGGATTGTATTTTGTAAATAGAACTTAGTGAGTTTTTATTGGTATTGTGGACAAATGGAATGATTAAAATATGTTATATGAGTGCCAAATTTCTAATGTGACCA